TATTTCAAGAAGTGAATATAACAAGTATTAAGATAACTATGTTTTTAGCCATTATTTTTGTTTATTTGTTTGTTTTCTGAGACAAGATCTCGCTATGCTGCTCAGGCTGGCCTTGAACTCACTATGTAGCCCAGGCTGGCCTCCAACTCACAGTGATCCTCCTGCTTCAGTCTCCTGAGTGCTGGAATTACAGGCATGCGCCAACATGGCTGTTGCCTTTAGCCATCCTAAAAACTAAAACAACAACAACAAAAAACTTAAATAAACCTATTTTTTAAAATTCCCACTAATTAAGTTGGATTGAAGTGATATTAAGTTAAAGTTTCATTATTTAAAAATCAATTGTAGGGTTATTTTCCTAAAGGTAATATAGATTTATAATCTGGATTATTTTTAGATTTTTATTTGGCAATACCATGTGGCTAATAAATCCTTTTCTCCCCAAAAGTCTTCCTCGAATTACTCCAATTCTCTCCAATATCATATAGCATATTTTAAAATAAATCTGGGTAACATGACTTTTGGATATTTGCACTTTTCCTTCCCTTCCTGTAAGAGGAGTCTAGTATGTGTCTTGGTTTTATCTAACCTCAGAATCAAACATATAATCTAACATTTAAAAAACTGTATAAGGCTTGGGAATTACTATATAGTCACCAAGTGCTTTTATTCTGACATATGTATGGATGGACCCATACATGTTTATGGATGTATATTTATATGCATACATATACAGCTACTATGGACAGCTACATTGTCTTTGTCAGTTTGTATTTTAAAATGGTAAAATTCACCATTCTAGGCATAAAAACCCAAAAATAGGCTATAGTGTTTCTAAAACCAGTACCATGTTCTTATATTTTTCTCATGTTGAAATGTACATTTTGTACTGGAATTATAAAATTACAGCATCCTCTCCCCTAGTAAAGGAAATAAGTACACACATTTTGAGAGGTCTATTTCTCTTATTTTCCCATGAAAATTATTTTGACTGACTTTCAGCGTTTGGTGACGACGACGATGATGATGATGATGATGATGGCTGATGTTTTCTTCCATCTGCAATTGTCAGAGAAAATAGCACCACAGAAATTCTTATAGGTCTCATTGTTCCAATATTACAAATATGAAAATTGGAGCAAAGAGGACTATAATTTTCTCAAATTCACACAAAAACTCAGAAGTGAAGCCAAGAGTAGAACCCAGTTCATGTGGAACAGATCTAATGCAATGTGCAATGTCAAGCTTGCAAAGATAATTAAACTGAGTAGTAAAATTACCCAAATTATAGTACAGGAAAATCGTGTCATATTTACAAAGCTAATTATATTGAGTAGGAGAATTACCTGAATGATAGTAATCATGTGGATGGAATTCACATTATATATATATATATATATATATATAAATCTTTTTTAATCCTGAGTGCCTTAAAAATAGGAGTTTGAGATATACCAGGGATCAAAAAAAGAAAACAGAATCTGGAAACGCACAAATCTCCACATTATATCCTGGCACAGCACTTTCAATCTGTGTAATCTTAGGTAAATCACTTAACCTTTTCTCACTTCCTCATCTTTAAAATAAAAATAATATTAATATATTTAGGAAAATTACATTAAAATCATGCATAAGTGACACTGATAGTATAGCTATCCATTCCAAAGTAGGTATATAATAAAAGGCACACAGGGATCTTTTTGTTTAGCAAGTAGTAACAATATTTGAACATCCATCAACTAATAATTTTAGTTTGTTGTATATTTTGTAGTACTGGGGATTGAACCCAAAGCCTTGTACATGCTAGGTAAGAACTCTCTCACTAAGCTATCTTCTTTCCCTCTGCATCAACTAGAGTTTACACACCCTTTCTCACTATATTTTATTGTTTTTTTCTGTCAGTTGGATTAATATCTGTATGGGTAATATGTGATTTTAATTATGGCCCAATGTGAAATCAATGAAAGTCCTGAGTTCAGAAATATTTCAGTTCGATATTTCACTATGGCAGCTTTTTGAGGAAACTGTATAAATGCTGATAAAGCATTGCATTTTGGAGATCAAAATACAATTATGTATTTGAAAATTCAGTATATTTTTATGCATTTTCTCAGTACTGTACATTTACAGAAACAAGATTGATGAGTGAAAACTGTTCAGAATATTTATGATTCTCCTTAACAAATATTGACATAAAAGAATAATTATTATAATAGTAGACTTTATCACAGACATAGATTATTAATAAAGGAACAGAACTGGGTGCAGACACAAAGCTAAGTATATACAGAAATTGTTTGATGACAGTGAAATAGTAATCAGTGGATAAAAGTTACACTATTTATTAAATGGACTCAGGAGAACTAGCTGTCCACCTCCTCTAATAAAGTAAATTTGCATTTTTAGAAGAACATGCTTGCAGTAAATAATACTGACATTTATCGTGGAGAATTGTAACATGTACATAATATGTTTTAAAATTCATTTATTTTTCAATCTCTACTGCTCCTTTGCCTTCCTGTTCCTTCTAATTCTTGATCACATGCTTTGTCTTGTACAAGACTCTCTCGCTCTTTCATTTTTCCATGAATTTTTTCCTCCCTTTCCTTCCTTTTCTTTCTTTCTTTCTTTCTTTCTTTCTTTCTTTCTTTCTTTCTTTCTTTCTTTCTTTCTTTCTTTTTCTTTCTTCCTTCTTTTCTTTCTTTCTTTTTCTTTCTTTCTTTCTTTTCTTTCTTTCTTTCTTTCTTTCTTTTTCTTTCTTTCTTTCTTTCTCTTTCTTTTTCTTTCTTTCTTTCTTTCTTTCTCTCTCTTTCTCTCTATTTCTTTCTTTCTTTCACTTTTTCTTTCTTGCATCTTCCCTTCTCCTCCCCTCCCCTCTCTCCCCTCCCCCTTTCATTTTCTCTTCTCCTCCTCTTCCTTCTCCTCCTTCTCCTTCTCCTTCTCTTTCCTTCTTTCTAATCTTAAAACGGAACAAAGGCCTTCACACTGAACTACATCCTCAGCCAATTTAAAAAAAAATGTTTTGAGACAGCATTTTGCCAAGTTGCCTAGTCTGAGCTTAAAACTTGGAACCCCCTGTCTTAACCTTCCAGAGTACTGGAATGAGCTTTACCAACCAGGCTGGCTAAGATTTCTTAAAGAAGTTATAAAAAATTATCCATAGAAAAATAATGAATAATTTTAATATATTAAAAATTTTTAGTTATCAAAGAATACTCTAAGGTAAAAGAAACAGCATCTTTGAGAGAGTAACTACATATAACTGCAAATTATTAAGTTAGCATTCAGAACATATTTTCAAAGAGTGTGAAGAATATAGTGAGATAACAGTTACTGCATTAGAAAAAAGACAGTTTTAAATGTTGGCAAAGAGGTAGGTTGATGAGAGATGGCAGGTACTACAGTGCAAAGGGGAGTGAAATTGACATGTCTGTGGAAAACAACTTTTCTGCATTATTGTGGTAAAATTAATGTTTCTATACCTTTTTGTTTATTGAAGAATTTAGTTCATATATACCCAGGAACATTCTATCATATATGCAGCAGAACAAAAGTGTAAGCATGTCTTCATCAGTAACATCTATAAAAGAGAGAAAAAATAGAGAAATTAATTCAAGTATCCATTAGCAGTAAAATGGATTAATACTGTATAACAAAAATTAATACTGTATAACAAAAGTTAATAATAAAAAAATAAAATTAATAATAAAAAATTAATACTGTATAACAAAAATTCTTTGAAATACTATACAACAGTAAAAAAGGAACAGACTTTGTGTTAAGAATATTCCCTTTTGATAACTGTAAAAGACAAATATCAAGCTATATATATTCATGGGCATATTACTATTTTAAAAAGCTTTTATACCTTCAATTCAGGCTTCTAATAATTTTGTGTCAGATGGACAGAAAAATATAAGGTAAGGGGACATTTAACTCATAATGAGAAATGCACTGTGAAAGGATCAGATTTCCTCACAAGCAAGATGCAGTGACACTAATATTATTTTGGCTCTGAAATTGGTGGTTATTAAGTGCATTATGTTTTTATGGACTTAATGTGCATGCACACACATGCACACACACGCAAACACACACACACACACTAAATCAATTAGGCAGATTCAATTAAAATTTGAGAAGAAAGTATCTCCGCAGAGCTGAAAATAACTTTTTACAGTATGTAATCTGACTATTCGCATTTAGTAAATGTAGATACTTTTTGTCATGACCATATTTTTGAGAAATTATTCCACACCATATTTGCAAAATAAAATAAAGTTCCATGGGTAGACAGATAGAAGAGTAGTTGTTCAGGAGAGAAAGTCGCTTTGGGGTGAAGTGGTGAAAGTAGGCTTGGGAAGGCACCTCAGAGCTGTCTAGATGGTGGAGATATTCTTTGATTTAAAACAGTTTGACCCATTTTCCACTTCACCATAGGTCTATTTGCTGCAATCCCATGTAAATTGGGAAGCACCTGGGCTGATTATGACTCCACTTATGTTTTTTAATATTTAAAAAAAATTTTCCTTAGTGAGTTTATCTAGAAGTCACCCCACCATAAGTCAGAGAACATCTGTTATGACACAGATGACTTTTCTGATACCATTGCTTCCCAGTAACGGCTCCCTCCCTCGATGTTCTACCATGGCTCAGAAATTGATGCATAGATGTCAAATTAAAGAAGAACTTGGGATGGCGGGGAGACATTGATCTAGTCCAATATTCTCTTCACAGAGCCAAATACCTTTGAGCAACTTTACATGAAAGAACTTTTTCCCTCTATTTCTCTTTCATGTTAGCTGTAGAAAACATGAACTGTTGTAATTCCCATGCCCCTTCTAAAAGTTTCTAAATGATCATGAGCACACAACTTGATTAAATTCCAATGGTGAGTTGTTTTTCTAGTCATTCCTTGAACTGTTTTTCACTGATGACAAAAAGGAGAAGAAATGTCATTGTACTTACTCTGGTATGCTGTGTTCCTGCTCCTCCTCCAGGTGAAGGTGTGGTTCCAGAACAGGCGAATGAAGTGGAAGAGGGTGAAAGGAGGCCAGCAGGGAGCTGCAGCTCGAGAAAAGGAACTGGTGAATGTGAAAAAGGGAACCCTTCTCCCGTCGGAGCTGTCGGGGATTGGTGCAGCTGCCCTCCAGCAGACAGGGGACTCTCTAGCCAATGAAGACAGTCACGACAGTGACCACAGCTCAGAGCATGCACACTTATGATAAACACAGAGGGGGCAGCTCCATTCTCAGGAAAGAAACGTGATGGCAAGCCTTCCCCAAACACCGTTTACACAGGATGACTGTGGCAGTGATGTTTAACATTATGAAATGCAGGCTCGAGTCTGTTTTGTATGATTTATAGAAGGTTTACAGCTAAGTGCCACTTACCAAAGATTCTCCAACAGTGGAGATGGAGAAGGTGAACTTGTTTTGAATATTTCCAATACGTTTGGTTGTAAGTATGGCAGTGAGCAGGTGTGTGTTTGCTTTTGCTTGCACTGAAAATTAAATTGCTATCCAGAATAAACCATGAAATATTTTTTTTTTCCTGAACAGCCACAGTGCCTAAAATCACCAAGTGGATAAAAATATGTATTTTATCTCTGTATATATTATCTTTATGTCATTTTTCTGTCTTCACTAATTTTAGCAATGCATTCATACTAGCTGCGGAAAATAGGCTCTCACACTGACAACCCAAACCAGCTTCTTGTATTTCTTTTATACATTTTGTCATTCACAGACAATCAGTATGTGCTTACTTGTGTTCAAGTAGAGAAAAATACAGTAGAGTCTGATAGGACATATTCTTGTACCACAGACAAAACAAATCTTATGTTGCATTTACTATCAACTGCTGCTAATACATTATTATAAAACTAACCTAGCTCCTCAAATCTTCCTATCTTATAGCTTGAAAAAAATTTAGGATCATATGCAAATCAGTTACTTGTCGAAAGAGCCTTGTGTGGCAGACATTGATTTTGTTTCTATAAAATGTTAGCTGTTAAGAGTACGATTTGACTAATAAGGAAAAGCTTTCTTCCTGATTGGAAATGTTAGACAAGGGACAAAATGAAGCTGATCCCTCGAATAGACAAATGACAAAATTCTGAATGCTTTCAAATTAAACTCAGTAAAGATAACATTATTTTTCATATGGGATGTATTCATGCAGAACAAGTCTTTGTATTTTGTAAAAATAACCAAGTTTAATAAATGATCCTTTGTAAATAATTTTGGTCTCTTCCTGTGATTTCCTTAATTTTAATTGATTTTCTTACATAGACTTAGGAAAGATCCAAGTAGGGGGCTGGGGATTTAGCTCAGTGGCAAAAGCGCCTGCCTGGCAAGCGCAAGGTCGTGAGTTCGGTTCCCGGTACCGGAGAAAAAACAAAAAAACAAAAAACAAAAAACAAAAAAAAAGAAAGATCCAAGTTATCTGCTCTTGTGTACATCTACAGTATCACTTATGAATCACTTACATTCTTTTTATTTCTGGATTTTTCTGTGCTGGTGGAAAAAAATGAATTGTTGGCTAATTGAAGATCATCTCAGAATAGGCATACAAGATTTTTTCCTAATTTACAAAAAAAAAATAATGCCACGTAGATTTATCATGTTTTTATGAACCAAAGATACAAATAGGAGAAACAGTAGTAGTATTCACCATCAGGAGGTAAAATATAGTTATAGACTTTCAAAATTTTGCGTAAAATGCGTGAATTAATCTAATAGCCATGTTCAGGTCAGAATGCTCAGTGTTTTGATGTAAAAGACAAACTAAGTAACATACCGAGAATTCTTAGGTGTAGTGGATAATGGCAGTACGAAGAGGGAGGGCTTATATTGTTGCATCTTGGGTCCTGCATGGTTGCAGACCCACTGGATGCCTATTTTATTACATTATATTACCACTACCATGTTGTATCCTGAAATGCTTGGAAATATTTCCAGTAGCTCTCTCCTCCCCAATCATTCTGAAAGACAAATAGAGAAGTGTAATCAGAACACATTCCTGAAGTTCATTTGCTTTCAAATGAGTAAACAGACAAAAATAGATTCAACACTTTCACTTAGTCTCACATGGTAGAGTATTCGAGAAATAAAAACAATTGTATTTGCATTACAAGTTCCTTTTTGAGTAATAAAGTTTATCTCTTTGGTTAATGAGGTTTCTGAACTGACACTAGTGAGAGACTATGCCCCTGAAAGCTTTCCAGGCATACAAACACATTTTTCTCTCAGTTACTAAATGAATACAAAGTGCATTTTCTGATGACATGCGCTTGGGTAGACTGACTTCTTTATGTAGGATATGATTTAAATCCAAAACAGCTTAACAAATTGGAGAAATGGGAAGATATAAATCAAATTGGGTTCAACAGGGACAAAGTAGAGGATAATTCATTTGGGCAGGAAAATAATTTCCAGAAATAACAGGAAAGGACTGCTTAGGAGGAGCTCAAGAGAAGGCTAAGATGGACAGTGAGATGGGAAGACACAAGAAGCATAATTTAGTGTGATAGAGGAGTGGGGAACAGTGATTCTACATGGATATGACTTTTAGGAAATGTGAGGCTTGGATTACTAGAGAATTTTGAATTGTCCTAAAATTAAGATTTAACTCCAGACAATAGGTGAGATAGGAAAAACCCAAGTCTGATCAAAAGGCACATTTTATTTATGACAGTAGAGTTACATTGCAGATGAAAACCATAGTTAGATAACTATCTAATTAAACCTTGTATATGTAATAGAGAATTAGAAATTGAGCAAATGAGAAAACCTCTATTGTATGCATTTCCTGTTTATGTGGGAAATATTCTATATGAATATATACAGTTTTTTTTTTTGTTTTTTGTTTTTCTCCGGTACCGGGAACCGAACTTACGACCTTGCACTTGCCAGGCAGGTGCTTTGCCGCTGAGCTAAATCCCCAGCCCCTATACAGTTTTAATTTTACTCACAATCCCTACTTTTCTTATTAATTAGGACAGTGACATTACAATACTAGATAAGTATATTAGTAGACAGAAGCAGGCCATACAGATGATATTTTAATGTTAAAACATACATATTAAGTGATTTAGGTTTTTTGGTTTGGAGAAAAATCCTTGTGCTCCTCCTTTAAGCATACTTCCTCTTTTTACTAGCGTTTTACATTCATGAAAGTGTCGACTTTCTTTTAAAGATGAAATCAACAACAACAAAGACATCTATCTTTAATGACAAATGTACTCTACTTACTTCATCTTTACAATCTAGATTTCTTCTAGAATTTACTAATCATGTCTTCCAAGCAAGTCACATACGTAGCTGAGAAATGTATGTAAAGATACAACTGTAGTAAATTTTCAGTGACTTCTTTGGAAATAGACAGAGAAAGGGGCATAAGGGTGGAACTTTAAAAAAAAAATTGTGCTAGAAAGTGGAAGAAACAGATATATGGAGGAAAGTTTTTTCTTGGTCTTTCATTTTTTTAAGGGAACAATCAAAATGGACTCCAAAAACTATTAAAGGTCTTGGGTAAAAGCAAGAGTAAATAATGTGATTACTGGGATAACACATTCTACTCTTTATAATTATTTTCAAGTGCTTGTGAAGCATTGCATACATTTTTACAAAGAAAGCCAAATAGAAAACAAATAGAGCCAGGCCTGGTGGTGCATGCCTGTAATCCCAGCACTTGGAAGACTGAGGCAGGAGGATCACTGTTTTTCTGAGGCCAGCCTGGGCTACAGGGAGAGTTCATGGCCAGCCTGAACTGCATAGTGAAATCTTGTCTCAAAAAAACAGACAAAGAAATGTAGGAAATAATTTTTGTTCTTTCTGAACAGTTTTTTTTTTAAATTTAAAATATGTACCATAAATCTAATGATAAAATTGAACTTATTAAAGCTGGGAGTGGTGGCCCACACCTGTAATCCCAGCACTTGAGAGGCTGAGGCAGGAGGATCACTTTGAATTTGAGGCCACTCCAGGTTACATAAAGAGCTCAAGGGCACCCTGGGCTACACGAAAAGACCCTGTCTCAAAAAAGAACAAAACAAGAAAAAAAATTAAATTGATAGAAGTTACCTTTAGGTGAAGGCTAAGATCATTCTGCTTTTACAAAGTTAATAAATGAAGAAGCCTGTTCAAAATCAACTTCATTTGATTTTTTGTTATCTTGGCCAACATTGGGTTAAAAGTCAATTCAAATCATTCTACAAACATTTGTGTACTGATTAATTAATTGCTATTCAATGTATGTAATATTCTACAAAGTCATTTTATTTGCTGTGTTATTCAATTTCTATTAGTGTCACCCTTATTTTATGAGAAAATTTAAAAGTACAGTCTAGTGAGCATTTTGTTGATGTTTCTTAGTCTAGCTCATTTGAATAATGCACCAAACTATTTCCTTTCTCTGAGTACTTTGTAGAAGTAGTGAAAGACGTGGTGTCAGTAGCATTCAGAGAGGAAAGGGCAGGTAAGGGCTGGCTAACTCCTGTATGCTGCATGTGCCGCTCCCATTAATTTTCTGGCAGAAAAATTTCAATCTATGATGAAAAGACTCATTATCATTTTTATCATGCGTGCTCCATCACACTTTAAATTTAATTCTGATCATTAGTTATGATTTTACTGTTCTTATTTTCTTTCAAAATTTACATATTTAAAAGTTCATTAGAATTTTCCGTAGACTGCCATTAGATGATCCAAAAAGCTTGTTCCTCGTAAGTAATTATCTTAGCAATATGAGTACTATGGTTTCAAATGTACTTGTGTCTAATTATCCAATTACATAAAATTACTAAAGCATGATGATTATGCTCCAAATACTTTTGATGAACATGCTCACAATTAAATGCCACTCAATTTTAAAAAATCGATTCATTAATAAAATTGTGTGAAGGAATGACTTCTCCAAGTGGCATTGTAAGTTCTGCGTTTGTGGACAGGAGGACAGAAGAATGTAGTGACCCTGCACTGTATTTCTCAAAGTATTTAAGGGAATTTCATGCATGAAAATAGGCATTTCCCTGTTTTCCCTTTCTTCTGTCCCTGTATGTAACCAATTCTCCACACATCCTGCAGCCACAGTGGTTGCTTTCAAATACAAATCAGATTAATTAATAAATGGCTTATAGTGACTTTTGCAAATGTAAAATTCCACCTGACAGCTGTGGTCCACGATCAAACATGGCCCACAGGTTTAAATTAGATTACATTCCTCCTTCCCACAAAATGCTGAAATGGCGTACAATAAACCCCTAAACCTTTGAGCCTCAAGTCATACTAAACTTTGACCACGCACTCATCACATCTGTTATGCTAAGACTTGCTCTGAATGCGCTCATCTTGGGCCACTCATGGATTCCTGCTGGTTTCCTCAGTCCTCTCAGGCTCAGGCCTTGTATTCTCTAGTCTCACTGCCTGAAAGTTGCTTCTACCACATTGGTGTTCGTTTATTTCTTCACTTCCTTTAGATTTCCATTTCCTCATATGCAATCCTTGATCTTCTTCAAGAAACAATGGCACCACTTCACTTTCTACTCTCTTAAGCCGTAGTGTTTCTCTTCTTAGCTATAGGATGATTACCTACTGATTTCTTCCTCTTATCAAATGTAGGCTTCATGAAAGCAAAGACTTCAGTACATTAATTGCTATGTCTCTAACCTGTTAGGCTCTGCACTGACACACATTCAAAATTCCTGTGAACTGGAAAAGAACACTGCTGCCTTAAAATGCTAGACTGCCATGCTTGGATTCCATGATAGTAAATGCAGGGAGTTATGATGATTTCATAGCAAAGTGTACCTGTCAAAGATGTGGCATGCATAATTTCTATAAATGTAAGCACTGACTATAATCTTGACAGTTCACCTTGATACTTAATAGATACAATGGTATGGATGAAATGGCATGCAATCCATCCAAAGAGCTACCTGCAAATCTAAATTAATGCAGTTGAAAATGGATCTCTATGATGTATTATTTAAGCAGGCATAGAGGTACCAGAAACCAAACAGAGCTCTGGTTATGGATTTTGAAATTGTATTGATAGTATAACAAGGTAGAAGAGAAAAGATACGAAGAAAAGTTAGGAATAGATTTTAACAGATGTTCATATAGGGTTTAGAGGAAAAAGGAAATTTTCCTTCCACTCAGATGCCTGTCTTAAAATTCTCACCATGTTTGCAGACAGTCTGGCTGGTTTCCAGGATACACTGGTCTTGTCTGGTATGAAG